CTTAAAAGAGACCAAAAGCCTACAAAAAGCGTTCTTTCATGGGTGTCTTCTTGAATATCAATTTGATCTTCCTCGTATGTCAATAGAATTTCAAAATTTACGTCTCCTCTTCTAAATTACGTGAACCAGCGTAATACTTTTGTGTATTTTTCGCGTTGGAAACATATCGTAGTTCAAGGTTTTAAAGAATTTCACTCACCACATGTTTAAAATTTGGATTTGTAAAATTATTGCTGATTATCAAACACATTTTATCGTTTTTTTCGCACAACTTGCATCATAACAGGTTATATATGCACACTTTGCCGCCACAGATAAATGAGATAAATCACTCTGTCCATTTTCATTGCATGAATTGTAAAAATTACAATCCAATTTTTTTTCTCGCTTGTTAAATTATGCATTTGCCATTCTCAGAAAGTATTTCCATTAGTGAGATAATTTTGATTTTTCATTAACCCCGCATTGACCAAATTGGCTTATTGGAATTATGAAAATAAAAATATCTGGTCACTTTAGAGCAGCATTATCTTCAAACTAATAATCTTTAAATAAAAAAAAAATTATTTATCAATTATATTATTTATTGTTTTACTTTTAACCATTCTTATTTTTCTGTTTATTTAATTTATAATATTATTCTATATATTTAATTTTCAATTTTCCGCTTTAAACTTGAAATGATTTGGTTTTACATTTTAATTTGTGGTAAAAATATATTTTGATCAGTAATTATTTCCTTGAATTAAATATTATCAATGTCTTATAAGTATTAAATTAATAAATTAACCAAGAAATGATAACACGCTGCAAAAATTTAGTTTGTTTATTATTTAAAGAATCAGGTAAAGACTTGAAGATGTGTTTCCCTCTCAATGTTGTAAATATTTTTTTCAATGTAAATGTTTTAAAACTATAGATCAGTCCGTACGTTTGCAGATAGTCCAGCTATTCGCTTTACTGATTGTCCGTTGAGTGTGGGGCGCGGAGAAAATCCGGCAGGCGATGAGGCGATCTAATCTAGTTATTGAGAAGCAAAGATTTATTGTCGCCATCCTGCATGCATGAGAGCAGTTTTGTGTGCGCACTCAATTCATGAAACGGCTCCCCCCGCGCGCGCTCTCAAGCATTTTCGGGAGAGCAAACCAAATTATGTGCATCTATTTATTTATTGTATGGGGAAACTGCAAATGTTGTGCTTTATACGTTTGTCATAAAATAGAGAGGGAATTGATAACAACATTTCCAGAGCGAGATATCCAATCCTATTATGTGTGCGGTTTGGTCAAGGGAAAGGAAAAGACGAATTCATTTGTCTCGCTGCGAGAGATTGAGGACCACACACTTGGCCCATCTTTCAGCAGAATCGTTGCCGAACACAATTGATGGATCAAAAAGGTCTAACGAGATTCTATTTACTCTGATTCGATCAGCTTATTTGAAGCTTCCTTTGAACTTGCTTGAAGTAGTTTTTTTTAATGTAAAACTCTCTTCAGCATTTATGTTTATATGTCACATAATAAGATAATTCGAAACGAAGTTTGCGAACTGCAAAATTTACGACCGCGAGTGGAAATAAGATCTCCATAACCATAAAAGCCCCATTAAAAAAGTTCTGCGCGCGTATTGCTTTTCACGCTGGGGGGCCCAGAAATTCATATCTATATCCGATGACAATCTCGCAGAGCAATATATTTTATTTCAACAAATTTCATCTTCTGTCTACCACACCCTGTGAGATACAGAAAAAATCTCAAAGAAATGGAAAAAACGTCAAGATTTGGAAAAAACAAAAAAATAGAACATAAATTAATATAATTATCAATTCTTTTCAGTATCTCATTAATTTTGCCTGCATTTATGTAATTAGGAGCGTTATACAATTATGAGTTGCAATGTTTATTGAAGGGAAATGAATAGATTTGTATATAATTTTGAATAGTTTTGTGTATAATCATATTTCATATTTTAAATAAATAAAAAAATACGTGATAAAAACAAAAACCAAGTCAACTGAGGCTCACTGCGGTGATTGGGGTCTTTTTTATCTCGGTAGTTTTAGCAAAATCCTTGCTAGCGGTGGTGCCGTTTTGTCCAACAATTCCTTTCTTTTCAAATAAATTGTTTTCAACAATTGAAAGTAAGCAATGTGATGTAAAAATTTGGACAAGAACAATAATAGTAAATTTGTACCACGAAAACTTAAGCTCATTTAGTCAAGCATACGTCAAACAGTTTAAAGAAAAAATCATGTAAATAATAATATGGTAAGTAATTTGTTAATATAAAATTTTAATGAGCAAACCAAATATAATACTAAATTTTGAAACAATGTGATATAAAATAGATAATATAAAAACATTTTTTACAACATATAATGTACAAGTTTGGGATTAATTGCAATTTGCAATTGATAATAATTATTTCCATTAAATTAAGCAAAAAATTTTAAAGAAAAAAAATATAGCTTTTTTATGCTCTTTATCCGCAAGGTTTGAAATAGCCAATACCAATATACTAATAGGAAATAGATGTTCACCACTCCAGCTTTTAATTATTTGCTCTGCGGGTATTTTAAGCTCCCCTGTGTTGCGTGTGTGTTGATAGCATTGGTGTTGATAAGATATCAGTAAGCTAAAAACCAAGCTACCGATATGTATGACCGGAGTGCTCTATTTTATCAAGACATGTGGAGAGAAAGAAAATTAACGCGGGATCTGCTTTCAAAAATAAATAAATTGCCCATTTTTACGTGCGTCTAAAATAATATTTAACTTTGGATAATTTAAAGTGAAAAAAATTGTCTTCTCTATTTAAGTTACAACGTTCTGGAAGAACCAAGTATATCATTAAATTAGATTTCGGATAAAAAAAGCATACTTTCTGAAATCTCGGAAAATTCCTCTGGCGTGTCAGGAATGTGGAAGGCCGATTAAGAGACAATTAAAATAAAGCGGCTGGGCGCAGGAATTCGCGCCGAACGGACGTCACGTAAAAAATGTTGTTCTTGCGTGTTTTATTCTAAAAAGTACTCTCGTGTAAATGTTTCGTATCACGAGAGCTGCTCGGCAATGCCAAAAGGACCAATGAGAGAGTGCGGTGAGGGCACCGAGTTGGCTTTCCTCAGATGGTCATGAGAGCAGGACCGCATGTCAACTGGTCCAGCGAGCGAGCGAGCACTCAGCATCCCACTTGAGACAGTTTTTTAACTGCTGGAGCGAGAAAGTGACGTCACTGCCCAAGTCACACTACAATTGTTATTTCAGAGTGGCCCTTTATTGGTGCCTCGCTCGCGGCCGCAGCGCGGACATAAATAAAATACACACCACAATTTACTACATGGTGTCTTTCCAACTGCCAGATGCAATTTTTGCTCAGACTCTTGATCCCGTCAGTCTTGCCATTGTTTTTCTTTCTGCCGGTTCGATCTTCAGACCACTGAATTGGCATCTGCATTGAAAGAAACGTTGATTGCTCTTTCATTATAAAAAAATATTCATATTTTCAACTCACTTTTGAGCACATAAAATAACGAAATTATTCAAGAGTAGACAAAAATTGTATTTTAATTAAAATTCTCTGTATTTAAAAATCAAACGCAAATTTTGTTTCTCAGACGTTTCTTTTTTATTTGTTTTTGCATAGTCAGTCTGGTGTCATTGCGTGATTGATTTACAATTTTCCAGTATTACCATTTGCAGGCGGATTATTTACTGGATTAAATAATATGTATAAAATAAAATACACATAGTGCGGAGCAAGACACAATAAAGCAGTTTTCCTCTCTGTGGTGCGCGGCGAGCGTAACCATAAAAGGAGCACCGAACGGGGTCAAACCGTACTCGCTCTGTGGGCAGACACTTCCAGCCAGCCACCGGCCTCTTATTCCATTTCTTGCCTTGTCCACTTGTGCCAGCAAATTGGTACCGCAATCGCATTTTTTAACAAACAAAAAAGGCGAATCCAGTGGTTTAGGAAATACAATTTCTTTCCATTTTTGCATTTAAAACTAAATGAGTCACTAAAATAATTTGAATTCCTTCATCAACCAAAACAAAAAATATATTCGTGTTGTACTTTTTGAAATCATTTTTATCAATTTTTATTCATCTCGAAAGCGAAGACGTCAATTTTTACTCAATTAATTACTAAGTCTGTAATTAAGTAAAAGATTTGAATAAAAGTGTGGAAAAACTTAATCATTGGATGTCAAAGTCGATGCCTTTCGCCACTAATTTGTCAAAATTTGCTCTATTTTTATGACACATCTTTTTAGCATTTCTTGTGGAAAATTATACAAATATCTTAATACAAAAGTTGAAAATTTTAAGTACTACAAAACTATAGCAACATGTACATGTGATCTATTGTTGTTCTGATAATAATTTTTACTTTGTTTAATTGTATACGCAATTGATAAAAATAAAAGTTATGTGAAAATCCTGGTTTAGAGGAGCTAAATATTTGTATTTTCTCCACTAAAAATAAAAAATATTGATGAAAAAAAGGCGATTAATAATGAAGGCAAGCTTTCTGGAGGTATTGATTGAAAAAACGAAAAATTGTTTACAAAAAAAAAAAAAAAAAAAAAATGAAACCAGACTTTCTTTTCTTATCAACAAGTATAAGCCAAATTTTAATTTTTAAATTGGATTTTAGTTCAATATTAAAATTGATTTTAAAGACATTTATTAAATGTTTAATTTAAATTATATGCTTTTTAATTATGTAATTTAATTTTTAAACTAATATTTAAAAAAAAATTATAATTGATTATAATAATAATTAATCATTTTTATGAATTCAATTTTGTTATAAACAATAAATTATTTTATTTTAATGTTTTGTACAAAATTGGTATGTCATTTATGACATTTCCAATAATATTACAAATTAAAAAAAAAAAATTAAATTTCGCCATGGTTGCTATGTCAACTTTTAAGTGTACTGCTCGCGGAGGCCTCTGGTGTTGCTGGTTACGAACTAACAGGGCGCCGAGTCGGAAACCCATCCATCAGATGCACTCTCAGTCCAAGATCGCGACAAGAAACGCACACCGAGGCTGTTCCCCGCGCCCAAAATTCACACCCAGCCTTGTGAAGGCGGCCAGTGTCCGGAGAGCAGTGTTTCGGCCGCCGAATCGCGCCAGCAGGTCGGCCGTGGGGCCGAATTCGCCCGTCGAACGAACAATTATGTGCCTTACCTGAACCCAGTCGGCTGCCTTTCGACCGGATTCCGAGTGCCTTGGCCGACGCCAGACCGGCCCCCCTTTCGGTGAGTACCGACCCCGACCCCGACCCCTTGGGGCCCCTCGGGGGGCGCGTGCCGCCCCCGATCACTTGCCTTCGGCTGCGTGCTCGAGGGCTGCTGGCGCGATCGATCGCGACCAGGCCACCGCCTACTCGCGCCCTTCGGTCCGCCCCCGGCCGCCCCCTGGCGGCCAAATCAAACGGCCACCGCGGCCTCCGCGCCCTTTCGGCCTCGGGGCCTCCGTCGGCCGCGACCCTTTGGCCCGGGGGTGGCGTCGGGGGCTGTCAGCGCGTCTTTTGTGCACATTTGGTGGCCTTCTGCTCACCATATGATGCGACGAGAGAGCGCGTTTATTGACAGAAAGAAAGAAAGAAACACGCACACGGCCCGCGATATATTGTACATTGCCTTTCAGAGATGCAGCTGGCCTTTTTGGTCCGCAGGTGTGAAGGCTCTCGTGGTCTTGCACAATGCAGAATCCAAATTAATCATCACTGGCAATTTTTGCATACTGATTTAATCCAATAATTTCCTTGTTTCCAGATCTTGAATGATAAAGAAAAATTACTGTTTCTCAGTGCTCATAAGAAAAACGACGAGCAGAAATTGTGAAATGTTTAAATTAATAAAACAAAATAAATATTTCTTTTAAAACATTTTTATATCAAATATTAATTTTTTTACAAATATTTTATTTAATAAACGTAATTTTAGTCTTTTATAGCTTTATTTTAAACGCATATTTTATTTTAAACTACATTAAATTTTAAATATTAAAGATTATTTTATCATTTATTTTACTAGTAAATAAAACAATATTAATTGCTTCACTACTTCTATAATCTCAACATTCATGAAAGTGGCTTTCGAAGCTTTGCTATCGTGGGGTGAAAATCTTTATGATCAATTTTATTATTAAAATGATTTAAATATAAAAATTAGTTCAGACAAAAGCACTTATTGAGCAGGATCGTACAGTTGTTCATACGAGTCTTCACATTTAAATTTCACTCAGCCAATGCGTTGAATATAAATTTGTTTCTGGCGCGCACTGTCACTTTTCGTTCAATGACCCAAATTGGGACAAGTATTGCCGGACTCAGGAAGTGAAATGGAAGAAAGACGTTTCATCAAAAGTACTCTGATATGAGTTGCGGCTGACGTTTCAGTTCCGCGAATTTTATTGACACTTTGCAACATTTGCAAAAAATAACGAACGTCTGACGAATGAGGAAAAATGAATGAAAAAAAAATCACCTGATTGCTTTAATAGGTGAAAATTTTTGTCTCCATTATCATTTCATCTCTCTTATCATAAATTTAATTAATAAAAATCTCGAGTGTTGAAGATGAATTTTAAATATAAAGCAAATATATTTCTCATTTTGGCAATTTCATAATCATGAATTCAAGTTACAATAAAACCTCATCAACAAACTACATTTTATATTCGCCAGCAGAAATCTTATTCGCAAGAAAGCTCTGACCGGATGATTGGTCACGAGGAAACCGACGTCCTCTTTTAACTTTCATGTCATCGCGAAAAAGCACCTTTTTCCTGTGGAAATGCGTGCATCATTTGAGTCGGCCGAGTCGGAATTAGGCCCATGATTCACACGGCGTTTATGCAACCGGACCAAACCGAGGCGCGGCGTGACGTCATGTTCACAATAAATAACATTACGTTAGCAGCGAAAGAGGAGTCGCAGGTTTCTCCGAACAGCTGCGGCCTTTGTAGATGAAAGAATGAAGGGAAAAAACGAACGATAGGCCGTTCTTGGCGAGCCGCGTTCGCCGGTGACGTCACGCCGCGTTTAAAGGGTTTAACCTTTGCTAATCGACCTCAAGCGCGCGCAATCGTACAGTACTTTTCGCTCCAACAAAAGTCACACTTGCACACCAATGTTTGTTTTGGTCGATGAGACACAGAGAGCACGCAATGGATTTTTCCAATGAGGCATAAAATTGTCAAATGAAAAAATTATTTCTTTTTAAGTTAATTAAGTAAAATTCTGTGTTTAATATAATTTGTATTTTTAATGAAGAAAAATATTTATTTTATTTTAATAATTTAATTTTTTTTTTATCAATTTTTAGTTCAAGACTGTTATAAGACTGGCAAAGTTTATTATTTATATTGTTGATAATAATAAAAAAAATAAAATAATTTTTACGTGTTATTGTGTTAAAGTATTAATTAGAAACATTTTACTAAAAATATTTGGATTTCCCCTGTTGATAGGTAAAGGGAATTTTTGAATCCATTTCATAAATAATCAAGTAAAGTGAATACTTAAAGCATAAATTAAATGAAGCAATTGAAATGCGAAAATGCTTCTTTCAAATTTGTCCTGTATTCAATATACTTTGAGCTCAGTTTTTCTCAAATAATCTCCAACACCAGACCATGCATCTAAACAAAAACAAAAAAACATTTTAATTAAGAGTCAATTTGAGCTGAAAGGTCAAACTGAGCCAGCAACGAAATGCAAATTAGCCGTCCAGACCGTGACATTTGCGAGGAGACCTTTCGTCAGACGCGCGTTGTTCGCTGCTGCCTTATTGTTTACCCCTGCTGGACCTGAAGAGAGACACGGTTATTTGAGTTTGTTGATGGTAATCCAATATTAATCCTAAAAAGCCTCATCTCGCCGACTGTCTCTCGAGATATCTCGTTTCAACATCGGCCATACTATACTTTCCTTCCATCCATCCGCAGATGGATGCTTTTTGTTCTCCGCAGGCTGGATGGACGCGCGCGTGGTGGAAACACTTTTGCTCTTTCTTGATGTGTTGCCCTCCTCCAGCTAATGAAAGAATGGCTGCTGCCACCCCATTTTTTGCACTATTGTCTTTGGACAAAAAAAAAATGACACTCGCCTGTCGAGCGGATGTTTTCTTGCGCGAGATTACTTAGTGGGTTTGCTTCGAACCGACCAGAGCCTCGACTGCGACAAAATATCATAGACAAAAATAAATTGCCAAGTTTCTTAACTCGCAGATCACCTGCGTGAATAGTTCATTTTTTTCAGAGAAAGAAAAATGACTTGTTTGAAAAGAACGAGAATGAATCAGGCTCAATTTGCTTAGCAAAAATTGTTTCATAGCTCGGAACCGCCGTAAAATTTTCTTTCGGGACCCTGAAATTGGTTGGCAAACGGAATAATTTACGACCTGTTTATGACTTTGTTGTGATAAATATTGTATATTTGTTATTCCGGCGGAACGCATGTGTGCAAAATTGGCATAATCATAAAATGTTATTAATAACAAATTAAATATATTTATTTTATAATTAGATATTTTTATATTAAGTCATTTTGTTATTTACTAGCATTCATATCTTTAGTATTTTTTTTTTTAAATTATTTGTGTTTTATTTATTTCATCAAAATTCATCATAAATTGAGATTTCATTATTGTATTGCACAGTTCTGAAGTTTGCTATTAAATATTAATTTCTACAATTATTTTGTTACCATGGATCTCAGGTGCTATGCGATCAATATGAACTTAATTTGAATCTATTTCTTAATGGCCAAACGATTCCCATTTAGTACCATTATAAATCATCAGCATTGTCCTGAGAGTAGGAAATAAAATCCAACTCTCAGAGATTTGGTCCGTCTCTCACTTTCATTAAATAATGAGCTCTCTCTCTATTCATTAGACCGGCCCGTGTAAGCAAACAAATTCACGGTGGCGTGAATACGTCACATACACTACACGAGTCGCGACAAAAAGACATCGACAAACACGCCGGGTGACATTCGATCCACCCACCTTTCCCCTTTTTTAATGCGCGGTGCCCAAGAAAGCGAGGGCGCGCATTATATACAAAGGCGTCCCTTTTATTCATCTTTGGGACGCGTGCTTGCTCCATGAATTTTAACTGCCTCAGATAAGCCGCCGGGGAAGGAACAAGTTGTGTGTTGGAGACCAAATTACTCCCGAGTTAAAGTCGAGCCTCGGCTCTTCTCGTGCCTGCATAATCTTGATAATTACGGCCGTGCGCGCGTGGAAATTTAAACTCAATTCACGAGATTAAGTAAGACGAGCCAATTTAAGCGCGGAAAAGCTTGCAACAGCAAAAATATTTTTGAGTTTTGAATAATTAAATTAATTTAAAACAACCTCTTAAGTCTGGAGGCCGCTTGAGATAAATTGTTGGGCAAAAAAAGCTCTGAAAAATTATTTCTTATTGTTTCAAGGAATTAAAAAAAAATTCATTATGTCAAATTCAATTTTTTTGAGAATAAAATAAACACGTCTGCTATGGGCTTTGTTTTTGAAAGATAAATTAAAACATCCTGATTTATTGGCTAATTCGCGAGGTGTTGTATTTATATTTTGTTTTTTTTCCTTGTGAGACCCAAGCGTGCCGTGAGCTATTTTATGGCATGCTGATTGAATCATTTCCAAGCGGCTGTGGGATCACGCGCTCACTTTATTCGCCGAAATCGCCGTGTTTATATTCCGAGGCACGTTTGACAAATAAAGCACACGCTCAGCCGCCGCGCCGGTAATCCTCAACACCCTTCAAAAACGGCAGTGCACCGGCTAAATGCAGTGCCGGAGCATTAGCGTTATTGGGCATAACAGCAGCGCGGCGGAATTTATGGCAAAAGTTGCCCCAACGCCTCATCGCTTGCGTCTGAGTTATGGCCCGGCGAAATTGCTCAATCTTTTAACCTGCGGGATCACCGACGCCGTCCCTGAAGACCAAAATCATCTACATACGCACGGGTTGATGATTGAAAATTTACTAATGGCAATTTCATTGTTCAAAAAATTTAGAACAATTATTAGACTTTGAAAATTCTAAAAATAAATTTAAAAGTAATGTAATTAAAAACTATTTAAATTTTTTGTTATTATTATTGCTTATTATTCTCAGAATACACAGAAAAAAAATTGAAATTCGAAAAAGAGAAGAAAGTGTTTACAACTAGCAACGCCCGATATCAAAAGAGACTCGGCCGCCGCAGTAAACCCACAATTCAAACTTGTATAACTTGTAATAT